CACACACACACACACACACAGAGTTTGCAGCCAAGAGCGCCCTTTTCTGCTCCACGTGGAGCCTCCGGGTGGAGGAGGAGGAGGGGGGAGAGGCGAGCGCTTGGAACGGCTCTCCGCCCCGCATGACGTCACCCGCGTTCTAATTGTTTAGAGTTATATTTGGACTGAAATCCAGCAAAGAAGCCAACACAGAAGCGTAGGCATTTGTGAGACACAGGAATAGGGCCAAATGTTCTTCCTGCCTCACAGAAATCATTTATACAATGCTCTAAAAATGCCCCAAATCCAGAAGACCTGTTCTAATATCTAAAGCCAAATTTGAATAATCTGTGCAATAACTGAAGTGTAGAGTCTGGAACATACATTGTTTTTTCAACTACGGAAAATAGCTCTTTGGTCAATTTTTTTTCTGCTGCTTAGATTTGCATCTGTATCTAATTCCAACAAACTGTGAATCTACCATGCCTCTGAAATATTGCATTAAATGCCAGTAAACAAGCAAGAATATTGCCAGATACAGCTGCTAGGTCTTAACCCAAATCCAAGCGGCTAGTCCTCATGAGACTCTAAATTTGGGGGAAGGAGGAGGAGAGGCAGACTCCAGTGCAAAGAGGTGGGTGCGAGAGCAGGAGAGAGAAGGCGGGAGGATCCTTTTGAGATCTTTCAGGATTGAGCCCCCCACCCCACCCCTGCCTTTGCTGCTCAGAGGGGGGGTCCCCAGTGGGGTGCTCTCAAGATCCCAAACCCAGGAGGGGACAAGGGGTGGGGGTTGCCCAGGACTCCCTGGAGGGGTGCTGAGGAAGTGGCCCTTCCCTCATTCCAGATCTCCTGGCATTCCCAGAGGTGCAGACCCCGAGCTGGAGGGGGGGGTCCCAAGGGTGTGTGTGTGTGTGCCCCCCACCACCCCCACGAGCTACTCCCAGCAGGGCAGAACCCTCCACCCAGAAGCTAAGCGTGCCTGGCTGCCACAGCCTCTGCCACTGACTTCCCGCAGGGGCCATGGTCATGCCCTAGCTAGCCGCCCTGGGCTTGCCCGCCAGATGCCCGGCGGGTGCCAGCGAGGATGATCCCTGAAGAGGAGAGCCCCCCAGGGGGAGAAGCCGATGGAGGAGGCGAGGCTGAGGACGGATCCCCTCTCCTGCGCCAGCCCTCGGAGGGTGGCAGCCTGCGGAAGGTGAGGCCAAGGGCGAGACCCATCTGATGCCAGGGAGGGAGGGAAGCGGGCAGTGCCACCTCCTCAGGAGCCTGGGATATTCCTGCTGGCTTCGTCTTTCTATCTCCAGGCCGGCCCTCTCTGTTTACCTGCGACCTGCTGCTCTGGCTTGGATCTCCTTTTTTTTTAACCTATTATGGAAGGAGCCCTTGCTTTATGGGGCTGCATGGGGCTGGCATGTGTTTTTCCCCCCTAGTCGGTGGGTTTTGTGAGCCACTTTGGGTGGCGGTTGGCCGCCCTGGAGAAAAGCCGAGAAGACTTGCAAGAAGGAAAGAAAACCAGAGGTGGGACTAGGAGCCCCAGAATCCCCCTAGCCTGGGGATTTTGAGATTTGCAGTCCAAGGAAATTAACATTTTTTTTTAGGGCTTGGCCAGGTGCTCCTGGCATGGCAGATCCAGAGAGATTCGGTTTGCAAAAAGCCACAAACAGTAGCAGGAGTATGTGGCACGGCGTGTTCTTTTCCAAACCCCAGTTAATCACTCTTTAAAGCAAAAAAAAAACCCCAGTTCCTCGCTCTTTCTCTCTCTGCCGCCTCTGATCTCTCTCCAGCCGGCTTAGGCTCCTGTTTTATGCTTGGGTTCTCCGCCCCACCGCAGGCAGTCTATGACAGCTGTGTCGCTGGGCGCCCTTCCGTGTCTGCAAACTCCCCAGCCAAAAAAACCTAGATGTGGATTGTCGGTTTGGTGGCTGCGCTTCCCAAGAGGAGGACTCCTGGTTTTGCCCTGCGGCCTGTAGCTCAGCGGACGGCCGTGGAGGCCCACAGTGGGTGATGCCCCAGGAAAAGGGCCACGGATTGTGTCCCCCTGAAACGGTCTGCTTCACACTCCTCCCAATCCTTCACATTGGAATTCTGTCTTTCGGCCAGGATGGGACACAACTTTTGGAAAGTTGAGGAGGCCACCGGCCCTCAAAAGGAAGTTAGGAAGCATGCCACTTTTCCTAGCCGGTTTGCAGGATGCTCCTGGTTTGTTGGGTACCCTGGCCTGATTTCTTTATTCCCCCGTATGTCTGTGGTCCTGATTTTTATTTTGCATTTTTGGCCTATAACGTCCGGCTCTTCCTGTCTTTAAACTCTTCCTGTTGCGTCTCTGCTTCTTCATCTGTTATGTGCATACCCAGGTGGGAGCTTTCCATGATGAGTATATTTACGAGATGCCCAGAGATGCAGACAGGAAAGGGAACATCTTTCCCTCTAACTTTTCCATATTTTTTCCAGACCTTCGCAGCTCTGGTTGCGAGCAAATAATTGCATTCGCATTTCCTCTTTCCCATAAAATATGATGTGTATTTTTGCAACAGAAGCATCCTGGGGCCAGACTAAGACTTTAGAAGACCTGGGTTCTAATTGTTGTTCTCAGTGTAGAAATTCACTGGATGGGTGTCCATAGTAAAACCACTTGTTGAACATCTGACATATCTCAAAAATTAGGGTTACCATCGGTCAGGAGTGATTTGATGCAAATAAGTCTAAGGGAAGGGGTATGAACAGTTGGTAAACTGTATGCCTTTGATACAGACTTAATTACCATCCTTTTTTATTATTTCCACCTCTTGGTTTATTTTTGACAGTAGTTTTTTTTAATGTTCCACATCAGAATAGCATTGGCAAAAGATGTATCATGCCTCAAGAAAAAGATCTCTGTGTGTTCTGAGTTTCTCTCAGCACTAATAATTAGAAAACCGCCTGCAACTTAGAGAAATGTCCTAGGCCGTTAACCTGTTTAGTGACAATTGCTAATGTGTCTCCCAGCTGGTTTATGCCAGACTTTTAAAAAAACTTGTTCTCTGTTGACTCAAACGGGGATGCCCTGGGCGAACCGACTAGGTGTTTTCATATTTCCTCCCCTAGTAAGAGTCAGTAACAGAAAACCCTCAGTCCTGCTTGGACTTGCTAAAGGTGGTTCGGCCACTTTGCTTGTCACCCTTACAGCCTTCCTTTCCTCCAGCAAAGTGAAGATGAGCGTCTGTTGATGTCCTCCTTGCCATTTAACACTCCTAACAACCCTGCGAGGTAGGCTGGGCTGAGAGTATATGACCGACCCAAGGTTAACCTGTGAGATTCACAGCCCCACGTTGTGGCTTGTTGTAGGTTTTTTGGAGTGGGGAGTTGACTGCAGATGCCAGGACCCCACCGGGAGCATCACGGCATGGAGAATGTTTGCAGCTATGTTCTAAAAACATAATTTTTTAAGACCTAAAATAGGGTTCCAATTTATATCTTGGGGTCAAAAAAGGCTCCTAGATCTGAAAAGGTCAAAGATAACAGATATCATAGGGTTCTTGTTATAGATGTTGGTCCCCTTGAGATTCCGTGTAAATGGCTGTGATTCCCTGTTTGTTTAGTGCTGAAGCTGCTGGCTAGAGACACAGTAGTGTGTGTGTGTAAAAATATTGTGTGTCTCTGTTCTAAAGTAAGCCAGCATTTCAGAGAAGGGATAAATGGAAGGCTGCACCTTGGCTCTCCACCAGATGTGAGGATTGCCATGAGGATAGGGTTGCTATAGGGACCCCCAGCAAGAGGAGTGGGTGGCTGGAGAAAGAGGGGGCTGCAACCCTTATCTCCCTGGCAAGATAATGCTGCTTTTTTTGTCAACAAGGCCTTGGGACATCTGTTTCCTCTCTGTGGTTCCAAACATGGATTTCTGCCCAGCGCACCGTCATGCGCTGTTGTTTATCCAACTGGAAACAAGCATATGGGGGGGGGAATACAAGAACCTGCGTGATTTAAAAAAAAAAACCCATTCTTTAAAATCAGTTTGGACCCAAGCAGCCTGGTCCTCTCTGAACAGCTTGCAGAAATGGGTTGCATGCTGGAGTCACGGTAGACTGTGGTTTAAAGGCGTCTGTTTTATGTCAGTTAAGAAAGCGGCAGAGATCTATGACTCCTGGACGGAGCGATGGTGGGTCTCGTGATTTCGTGGAATTGGCGTTCCGTGTGGAGACCTTTTCCCGTGCGTTGTTCCTGTTTTTGACTCTTGTCTCAACGAACGAAATGCACTCCCTGTTCTGCAGTAGATCTAGTAACGATAGACGATTCTGGAAGCTGGTCCGGAATCAAATCCTTCATCGTTGTTTAGTCATTAAGTCGTGTCTGACTCTTCATGGCCCCATGGACCAGAGCCCGCCAGGCCCTCCTGTCTTCCACTGCCTCCCGGAGTTGGGTCAAATTCATGTTGGTCGCTTCGGTGACCCTGTCCAGCCATCTTGTCCTCTGTCGTCCCGTTCTCTCCTCCTGCCTTCACACTTTCCCAACATCAGGATCTTTTCCAGGGAGTCTTCTCTTCTCATGAGATGGCCAAAATATTGGAGCCTGAGCTTCAGGATCTGTCCTTCCAGGGAGCACTCGGGGTTGATTTCCTTCCAAATGGATAGGTTTGTTCTCCTTGCAGTCCAGGGGACTCTCAAATCCCCACTCAGCCATCAAAACTCACTGAGGGCATGGAACGGGCAAAACCACTCACTGAAATACCTTCAGAGCCCTGTGGGGGTTGCTGTAAGTTAGCTCTGACTTGATTGCATGTAAGAACAAAGCCGCGAACGAAGGATGGAAGCGAAGCCCCGTGGATAATTCCGATATTTCCTTCCCTTATTACTCTATCACGGTTTGTGTGCTTGGATCTTCACAGGGTAGAAGAAGTCGAGTTCCTGCCCCAAGGAGGTTACAGTTTAAAACTGGACATAGGGAAAAATCTTATGGAAGAGAAGGCAACGGTGGAGGGAGAAAGAAAAATAGTATTGCCTGGGTATGGGTTGCACTGCTTGGCCTTGATCCTGCCGTGTGCGATGCACAGAGCATAAGCAGATGCAATGTGTTGTTGTGTTTGGACTTATATATTGCACCATAGTGCTAAAGTACCTTTAGGCTGGTTTAAAACCTAATTATGCAGGCTACATGCACATTGCCAATCATCACCACGCCAGCAAGTGGGGTACTCCTTATACCAACCTTAGAAGGATGGAAGATTGACTCCACCTTGAGCAGAGGCTGGACTGCAGTATTGCAATTTAACCACTGCACCGTGGGGCTCGTGTGTTTTGACCCCTTCGCACGGCTTTGCCTCCCACCTCTGGAACTTCACCTTATCATGCAGACGTGGCAGATAGCACACGGTTTGCTTGATAAGCCGCAGAAAAGTTTGTTCGAGGGGTGTCCTCTTTGTGGATGCTGGGGGAGGGGGTTGGCCTCCACCGAAGGATGCTGGCCCTCCAGGACTGCCCCTGGTGTGAATTGTGGTTTGGGGTGTCGCAGGACAGCAAAGCGTCAGCACAGGCCGGTGGACCACTCTAAGCAAGGAGGTAGCCCTTTTGAGCATCCGTGGGAAACCTAATGCAACAGAGATGTCGCTGAAGAAGCTTGTAAAAGTGCTTTTTTGGGGATTGCAGTCCATGGGCAGCCAAGGGATTCAAGGAATTGCAATTTTTTGTAAAAAAACCCTTTCCATGTAGAACAATGAAAAGTGGGGAACTAGGATTTATATAAAGTAACTTCCCCTGCTTGCTTGCTTGCCTGCCTGCCTGTCTGCCTGCTTGCTTGTTTGGCTGGCTGCTTGTTTGCTTGCTTGCCTGCCTGTTTGTTTGCTTGCTTGCCTGCCTGTTTGTTTGCTTGCTTGCCTGCCTGTTTGTTTGCTTGCTTGCCTGCCTGTTTGTTTGCTTGCTTGCCTGCCTGTTTGTTTGCTTGCTTGCCTGCCTGTTTGTTTGCTTGCTTGCCTGCCTGTTTGTTTGCTTGCTTGCCTGCCTGTTTGTTTGCTTGCTTGCCTGCCTGTTTGTTTGCTTGCTTGCCTGCCTGTTTGTTTGCTTGCTTGCCTGCCTGTTTGTTTGCTTGCTTGCCTGCCTGTTTGTTTGCTTGCTTGCCTGCCTGTTTGTTTGCTTGCTTGCCTGCCTGTTTGTTTGCTTGCTTGCCTGCCTGTTTGTTTGCTTGCTTGCCTGCCTGTTTGTTTGCTTGCTTGCCTGCCTGTTTGTT